TGAGGAGGAAGTGTTCCTGGAGCAGCGGCGGCGGAGAGGTAACGGCAGGTCACGGCAGCTGGACGCCGCCGAGCACCGACGTGTGACTCTGATTCAGCGTCTGTTTAGCTGCTCAGAAGCCCTCAGCAGGCTCAGGAGGCTTCACCTGAACGCTCCGAGCGACGCACGGCAGCCGGCAAATAGCGCCATTTTGCATCCCTGAATGGGGGAGGGGGATGCAAAATGGCGCTGACAGAACAGATGAGGCACAAAAGGCGTTTCTTGGTGCGTTTAACTGGACAAAGATGTCAAAGCTCATCTTCAGCAGAGAGCCAGGAGGAAAAATAGAGTAAAAAGGAGCTTAACATGTTTATAGCATCATATATGGTCTTATGTAGTTTTGTTTTGACATTCTTCAGATTTCTCTTGTTTTGTTAAAGCACAGATCATAACTAGTGAAATCACAGTAAACGCACATTTTATTTGTAAGAAAACTGTCCAAAACTGTAAATAACATCTACTTTAAAATTACAAATATATATACAAAATTAATATTGCACTTGTTTTTATTACTGTATTTAAATGAGCCAAAATGAATTTTTAATTTTAAGAAAAAAAAATTAAAAAGTGATAAATATTTTTAACTGATCTTCTGCAGATTTTTTTTAGATTACAGATAATAACTAGTAAAATCACAGAAAATGTACATTTATTTGTAAGGTAAAAAAAAAAATAAAGTAAATAACATCTACTTTTACTGTATTTAAATTAGCAAAAACAGATTGTTATTTTAAAGGAAAAAAAATAAAAGTAAATATTTTTTAACTTTTCTCCTGTAATTTCCTTGTTTCGGTCAATTACAGATAATAACTAGTATAATCACAGAATAAAAGTTACATTTTCATGGTAACTGTAAAAAAAAATATATGAATAAATCTGGTCAAAATTGTAAAAAATGTCCACATTTTTAAAAAATATGTATTTTTATAAAAAGAAGTTTGTCCTTTTACAATGCATGACAACAAAATTGTACAGTTTTACTGCATTTAAGTCCCCTAAAATATCATAATATTGATATTTGTTTTTTGCATTTTTTGAATGTCATTATTCCATCATTCTTTAACTTATTTTTTCTGGCCCCCTTGCTGCCAGATTTCTGTTTGTTTTATTTGTTGACCATGAGCCCTAAACAGGTACTATTTGCACATATGAATTGTGGATACTGTTATACTAATGAGTGCTGCACTGACGCTGATTTCTTTCCTTTAAGTACATTTTTGATATCATTGCATTATGTGTTCTTGTCTCGTACAAAGCAGATCCAACAGGCTGCTGGCAAAGTATCACTGCACCTGTTGTTGTAAGGCTGCGTCCTGCTGTCCTCATCTTTTTAACAGCAGACTACACACCATAACATGCTCAGGTCAAACATATGCAAAACAACATTTGTATTTGATGAAGCTAAATTCTAAATTTATTTTCCCTTGTGTGTCACTGTCCAGCCCCCCTGCAGCTCTCGGTCCAGAAACAGGATCTTCCCATCGAGCAGGATGCCTGTGAGGAGAGGACGGACCTGTGCGAGGACGACCAGGAGCTCCCGCACATCAAAGAAGAACAGGAGGTGGAACCACTGACAGCTCAGGCTTGTGAAAAGCAGGAGGACACTGACACCAAAGACTCCATGTTTAACATCATTTATGTGCAGAGAAGTGATGAGGAAGGACGACATTCACCACGTCAAAGCCAAACAGGTGAAGATAAAGAGGGAGACCTTTTGCCTGGCAGCTCATCTCAACCCGGTGGAGAAGGTGCATCGGAGCCGACCAGCGACTGTCAGATGAGTGAAGGAAGTGATGAGGACTGGAGAGACGGTGGAGAGCCTCACTCTGACGTGAACAGGAACAAACCACAGAGAGCTGGTGAGGCAGTGGACAGGCCGTACACCTGCAGCGTTTGTAACAAGAACTTCAGGATTAAATCCATCCTGACTCGCCACATGAAGACGCACACGGGGGAGAAGCCCTACAGCTGCGGCGTTTGTGGCAAAAGCTTCATCCAGCGCTCCTATCTGCAGACTCACATGAACTCCCACTCCGGACAGAAGCCGTACAGGTGCAGTTTTTGTGGCAGAGGGTTCACGCAGGTGGGAAACATGAACGCCCACATACGAATCCACACGGGAGAGAAACCTCACAGCTGCACTGACTGCGGCAAAAGCTTCAGAGAGAAAGCGGACCTCATCAAGCACACAATAATCCACACTGGTGAGAAGACGTATAGCTGCACCGTTTGTAATATGAAATTCAGCGCCCAGTCGAACCTCACGCGCCACATGAAGACGCACTCGGGGGACAGACCTTACAGTTGCACTGCTTGTGGAAAAAAATTCATCCGGCGCTCTCATTTGATCATTCATATGAAGACTCACACCGGAGAGAGTCTGTAGATTTAAGAAACTGTTTTCTGCACATTTGACTGATAATTTCTTCGATAGAGTGGATGAGGACACACGCTAGATGAATTGATCTTGTACCGGACATTTTTATCTCCTCCATAATAATTAGTTTGTCCGTGATGCCTTTTCTAGTGATCCTGTGTGATACAATTTAATTGCTGTCAACAAATCCCACAAGAAGAGCAACACAAAGTGTTTAGCAGCTCTCAGCCTTTGACCAATTAAGTCCCACTGAACATATAAATCATAAAGATCCACCAACAGTATGTCTTTTTTTTAAACAAGAAGTAATAGTGCATTTGTAGGGGGGCTATTTGCAAACAGACCTATTGTAAGATTTTCAGCAACAGGAAGGGCATTTGGGATTGATTTGAAATGAAGTGCAATGTGTGTGTTCGTTGTAGTGAACAAACACGTCACCCAGTGGTTGATCTCAATGATGCAGAAGTATACGATGTATGTGCCTTTGTCTAAAAAGATGACACTTATTAGAGGCATCAGTTCAATATTCAGTCGTCTCGTAATGTCCAAACAGCACCGACATCCAACATGCTCCTAGTATACAGAGATTCTCAACAAGCCCATCATCATTTATATATAAATGCCAAAATCCTTGTACTACAACTTGAAACAGAAAGGTTCAGTAAAACACTTTGGAAGTATTTACAGCAGTGGAAACAGCTGCAGGTGTTACATACATGCAGAAACTCTGCCCAGGAGTTATTCGCTTCTACTTTTGCCCCCCTAAGCAAGTTCGCAGCGGACTTATGTACTTACGGGCGCTTCGGTGGGACGGACGGTTTCACTTTCCTGATCTTCTTTACATCCCAGAGTTTCAGTGCGCTGACACTCGACTCTAGAAGTGTTTGTTCACTGCCTCTCTTCAGATTATTCAGATCATACAGCGTGATAAACAATATGGCAACTTATCAAATAAACTGTCATGTATTGATATTAATAGTTTAAAGGTAAAGAAAATGCTTTGGTATGTTCCACACTAAATTCTAGCTGTTCTTCTGCTATCGTGTAATGTCAGTTTTCAGCCACTAGAGGACTGCAAAGAACTGATGTTGCAATGTGAACATTTGTATGATTGATATGAATGTTAGAGACTTAAATCAGACGGCACATGTATACAAAGAGCTGCACAATAATGTTCTTGCCAAATATGAAATATACACAATTTACTCTGAACAGAAATAGAGTCACAAAACAAGTTCTCAGCACTGCTCATCATCAAAATGTCAACATCACACAACTAAGTGCAC